ACTTTGAATAATCCAGGCGGAGTGAAATATTTCTGAACACCCCAGGTCCACTCTAGCTCTGATATGCCCACTGCCCACACCTTTGTGAAAGTCTGAAGCCAATAGCTTGAGCATTTTCGCATCTCTGGGGGCATAAAAGTCTTTCTGAGGTTGGGTTCCCTCCACCTTTAATAAGTCACCACATGGTGGCTTCTGGCCCTTGAAAATAAGACAGGTGCCTTCATCCTTAGTTGTGAGCCTTTTGTCCTCAAAAATGGCATCTTCTTGGCTTAGTGCCTGTAACTCAGTGGGTAGGGCAGCAGCCACATACACCAGGGCTGTCAGGTTCGAACCTGGCCCGGGGCCAGCTAAACAACAATGATAACTGCAACAAAAAAACAGCTGGGCGCTGTGGTGGGTGCCTGTAGTTCCAGTTACTTGGGAGGCTGAGGCAAGAGAATCACTTAAGCCTAAGAGTTTGAGGTTGTTGTGAGCTGTGATGCCACAGCACGCTACCGAGGGTGACATAATAAGACTCTGTCTCAAAAAATAAAAAGGCATCCTCTTGTCCTAAGAAAAACTGGTGACTCTAAAGAGGGGAGATAAAAAGATGGAACCTCCATGTTCTGAGATTCGAGAATGGAAATCTGTCTTTTTTTTTTTTTTTTTTTTGAGACAAGAGTACAGAGTGCTGTGGTATCAAAGCTCACAGCAACTTCAAACTTCTGGGCTCAAGAGATCCTCTTGCCTCAGCCTCCTGAGTAGCTGGGACTATAGGAGCCCAGCTAGTTTTTTCTATTTTTAGTAGAGACTGGGGATCTTACTGTTGCTCAGGCTGGTCTTGAACTCCTGAGCTCAAGCAATCCACCTGCCTTGACCTCCCAGCATGCTAGGATTACAGGTGTGAGCCACTGTGCCTGGCCTGATCTCTAGTTTTAAAGCCAAAGAAGGACACTGGGCCCCAAAATGATGAGGATTCAGAGCTTGTCCAGGTTCCCCAATCATTAATATTTGTCTTGTCACTTACTTCTTCTAAACAATTTTCCAGATGTTCTAAAGACTGATCTCAGTAAATGTTTGTTGATTGACTGAAAGACAATAATTGGGTCTGGCTCCAGCAAGCTCTATGGCCTCCCCAGGCTTTATTTCAGGAAGAGAGCCTTTATTTCAGATGGGGAAATTGAGGCTCTGAGTGAGGAAATCATGTGCTGAGCATCACAGCATGGTTATGCTAATTCAGAACTCAGGCTGATGCCCCCATGATGCTTAATCCAGAATTAAAGTACCCCGACAGACTGACCAGGAGGAAACGTAGACACACAATGCATCATGACTATCTTAGCATCACATGGGGGGAGTCCTTCTCTGTTCCTCTTTAGTAATATCTCTGCTGCTCTTGTCTCACTACTGTTCTCTCTCTCATCAAAGTTAATGAGAAATATCCTGGTTGGGGTTTATACTGGAATTACATTGAATCTATAGATCACTTGGGAAATATTGACATCTCCATGATATTTTGTCCTTCCATCCAAGATCGTGTTTTTTTCCCCTGCATTAATTTAGGTCTCTTCAAAAATATATCCTAATAGTACACCCATGTTCATAGCAGCATTATTTCCAACAGCAGCCAGGTACAATGTCTCACACCTGCTAACCCAGAGCTCTGGGAGGCTGAGGCAGGAGGATGGCTTGAGCTCAGGAGTTAGAGATCAGCCGGAGCAAAAGTGAGACGCCATTTCTACTAAAAATAGAAAAATTAGCCAGGCATTGTTGTGGGTGCTTCTAGTCCCAGCTACTCAGGAGGGTGAGGCAGGAGGATA